CCCCCGCCTGCAGAAGCAGGCCCGTAATTAAAAAGCTGGCTGCCTTCATTAGGCAGGGTTTCTTTAAACGCACGTCTCCCGGTCTCATCTTAATCATTATATTACAAAGTAGGCGCTTCTGTCTGCCTGGTGGCATGTCTTGCAAAAGAACGAGAGTTTTTGAAGGAGAAAGAAGGGAGCCAATTATCGGCTCTGCTTCCCCGCCACCTGCCAGCGCCATTCCTTTTAATTAATGATCTGATGCCACTGGTCAATGCGATGCGAAATGCTGGTACAGTCGGGGTCAGCGAATGCCGCCTTTGATCTCCCTCAACTTTCTTGAAACATTTATTTGTTTTCTCTAAATTATTTCAGTTTTATTTTTTAATCTTCTCCCTCCCGCTGCGGGGCCGCGAGAGTGAAAACCGACGCGGGCCTGTCGCTGGCCCGGGCCGAGCGGAGCGCTGCTTACTTAGGATTCTATTTGTAAATTAAACTGCGGGCCCGGTTTGTCATAAAAGACATCTGATCCTTTTGAAGTGACGAAAACTGTCTTTTGTCTGTAAAGGCTGATAAATTAAGTGCCAGTTCTCTCCTGGTCTTTGATCTCGAAGAGGGTGTGTGTGTGTGTGTGTGTGTGTGTGTGTCACGCACGCGTGTGTGCCTGCAGCTCATAATAGGATATATTCCGTATTTCATGTTAAATAATCTCCAAAAGTGCATTTTGTGGCTTTGTGTTCCTGACAACAGGGCAAGAATGCAGACGGGTATTGCTTCTGTATATATTTTAATGGTTCTTGAGAAATATCTTTACAACACAGTTCTAAGTTAAAATAACACTCCCCCCTTCCTTTAAAAAAATCCATTCTTCTCAGGGATATTAAAATTGAGGGATTAAAAAAAAAACACAAAACCTTCCAGAATATATTTTTCTGTAATATGGCAAGTAGTTTGAAACCATTATTAGGGAGTTCGAAAAATGGAATTAAAAAAATCTCCGACTCAAAAAAATACAGTCAAACTAAACTTGACTGTTTAATGGCTAGGGATTGGAAAATAGGATTTTAAAGTGCAAATCAGGTTATTTATGCTTATAAATAAATAACCTCGGATGCTTGCTGACCTTGAAGCAGATTAAATCGAACCCCTTTAACTAGAGCGAAATGAATGCTACGTACGAACAAATCCAGACCCTCTCAGCGAAGAAATATATTCTGTTTTTAGCTCATTATAACTGGATTGCCTCGTTATAAAAATTTTGCAGAAGCTGCTATAAATGATTATTCATTTGGAAGTCCATCAAAGTACCTTTTATTGGATAGAGAAATAATTATGAAAATAAAGTCCCAACTTTTAAGAGTGTTTTCCTTATGTGCATGTATTTTTCACTATTAATACCCTGAAGAGAAAGGATTATTATTTTTTTTTAAAAAAAGGGAAGAAAACAGAAGGAAATCAGCGTTTTTCGTGCCCTAATAAAATTTTTATAGGCACTTGAATGATAGCTCATTCTGTCTTTGAGAAAAAGAATCTTCACGGTAATTGTTTTGATGGGTGATTTTTTTTTTTTTAATGAAGAAGTGGTGCTTTCCTAGTAGAATTAGTTTTGATGTTAAAACATTTAGTTAAATATGTAAAGGAGTTAAACAATAGTCACACAGTATAAAAGCCTAAATATATACAATGACTCGAGGGACTGTCTTACAGCAACAGTTAACTAGACAAAACTGAAACAGTAAAAAATATTCATAAGAAGGGACGTTGTGAGGCGGTGTCGACAGAACTGTGTGTGTGTAAAGCTAAGGGCCATGGGCTTAAAATACGAAGACTGAAGTAGCTCTCAGGTAGCACCAGGAGTATTGACTGCAAGTCCGAGATGTTTTAAGTCGCACTCATTTTCTTAGAAATGTTGTAGACGCTAGTTGGACCATCTCGCCTACATTTAGCTTTCCCACCCGTCGCCCAGACGCCGCCTCTCACGGTTCTGTGGGAAACGGGATCAGGCCTCAAGCTCTATTTTCTATCATTGTAAATGTTCTCGGTGATGTGGGAAATCATCAGCGATTTCCCCGAATTTTGTGTGTGTATGTGATCGGGGTTCATAAAATATCTCCCCGAAGCCTGAAAAAATAGGACTGTTGGCGTTGTTTGGTTATTTAATAAATGGGCTGATGTTTCAACGGGGGCCTTTTAAAACCGTTCAGCCGGGCGCTTAAATCACGCTCGCCAGCCGGATGGCCCTGCGCGCATGTGCTCCCTGTTACTGTGTCAGCCCGGCCAGTGGCCGCGCCTGGTCCAAGGTCAGTGGTCACAGTTGTCCTGAATTACTTGTCTTTTTTCCCGGGGACCCTCTGCTGTGTTGCATGCTGTAATCTTCTTAATGGCTTCATTCCAATATTCACACATAATATTTTAGATTTATTGACTGTTAGAAATACGACCCTGCCAGTAGCAGTTCCGTTACTCAAGGAATTTAAAATTGGAAAAATAAATCAGGGCCAAGCGTCCAGGAATCCTTTGTTTTCCTTAAGGGAGGGAGGGGAAAAAAACCTCCCTTCCTGTCTTCTGACAAGAACACTTGTTTTTCGATTTCATCATTTCACTATACATTTGGATCATTAAAAGAAAACGAAATGCGAATTTTATTGGGAGTGATTTTAACGATATTGATTATTACATGGAATAACTTTTAAAAGCAGGAGATCCATTAAAATAGACGGCTGTAGTTTTTGTCTATGAGAACATTGTGAGTTTATTTTTTATTGGCTGTGCCAAATATGGAGACTTTCAAGCAGATGTAGTTTGAGTGTTTTGAAATTAAAAAAGTAAATTTTAGGGCTATAAACAATACCAATTGAAGTTAGTGTTACTGTGCTCTGTTTTTAAGTGAGGGGGGGGAAAGAACCAATTTGATTAAATATAACATGTGAAATCTGAAATGAGGTCATTTTAATTTAAGAAAATGCACAATTGAGGCTCCCCTCCATTCCGAATATATGCACAAATTCAGTTTCAATTGCATGCTAATTTAAAACGCTGTATTTCTAAACTCTTACTGCTCATTTTAATTTTTATCATCACTGACATTTTAAAAAGTAATTTGGACGATTGTTATTATATCAAAAATAAATAGGGGCACCCCATTCGTTGGGAAATTAAGCGAATTAGGATTATAACGAGATTTAGGAAATCTGTCTTCATGCGACTATTAAGTTTAAACTAAATGATAAACTACGTCTTACAGATGAAAGCAGGTTAGAACTGACACCTGACAGGCCCACGCATTCGAATGCTCTTTCCTAGGAACGTGGATTTTGATCTATATTGCTTAATAATTTTAACTCACCAAATGGTAAAAAATAAGACACTCTGAGCCAGGTCGGCAGACTTCCTGTTTTGAAAGTGAAGCGCAGAGAGGGGCCGGCTGTTAATGGGGTTTCTAGAGCTTTAGGTCGCACGGGTTGTGATCCCCAGACTGACGCTGCAGACACTAGACCAGGGTCCCTCTCGAATGAATGTCATTCGCGTGCAGGGAGTGACTCTCTTAAGATTTAACATACACGCTCACCCTCCTTTCTGACCTTGTTGAGGATCTATCACTAGGGTTTGATGTAAATTAGGATTTTCTGCACCGTTGCAATCACTCATTCTCATCTACGATACTATTGGGAACCCATTTTCTATCTTCTATGATGAGGGCGTGTAGAAAACATAGTAACTGAAGAGTCATTGTCCGATTCACTGGGAACCGCACGCCGGCTACGTTTGTATCAAGCCTGTGTCATTACTGAAACACTGTAACGTCATAAAGCGAGTCATTTAAAATACCACGCATCCTCCGGTGAACGTCCCGGGAAGGAATAGGTTGATGTTTTTATTGTGATGTAAAAAAGAAAGACAGATGGTTCTGAATTACCAGAAATCACGAAAAGCCTAAAGAACTAGAGAAAAAAAAACAACACCCACAAAACTCTGCCTTTAAGTATATTTTTAGATATCTGCATTCAAGGGAGTTAATTAATTTGGGAATACGTTTGGAAAAGAATTGGCCTTTGCAGAGATTTTTTAAAAAATGAGCTTTTAAAAAATTTAAATAAACAAATTTAACTCGCACAGCTGTACAGATAGTCAATAGACACGTCTAACTCATTGGCTCTTTTCCTCTAACATGACGGTTTAATATGTCAAATTGTCATAATGCGTGTTACCAAGAAAAGAAAAAAAAAAGGCCCCAGAGAATATCCCATTAGCTCAGGTTTGCCCCAGCCCGGCTGTAATCCTCATTGTGTCTAACAGTAGCTGCAGGCCCCCGAAGTTTCTGGAGTGTCCAGGTGAGCAAGAGAACATGTTGCTCCGGTTCTAGGTGGTTTAGGGAATATTTTGTTAGCCAACGAGCGTCGACTTCGGGAGACGGACGCGGCTTCCCGCTGTCCCCGGGAGGCGTGCGCTGTGCTGTTGGAGGTCGGGCCTCCAGCTCGGGGACTGGCCGTCTCCGTGCCCAGAGGCCGCCACTAAACACTTGGTGGAGGGAGACGGGCCCACGTCTCTTGCATCCTTTGCGATGGGAGTTTGTAGTTGTTCAGGACCTTGGACTTGACTGGAAATTCACTGGAGGTTTTGATCTGAGGAAGAGAGGGGCCCACTTTGAGTTCTAATCACGTCCTTACGAGTCCCTGGGCATCCGACGTGAAGCCGGGACGTCGGTTAGGAGACCGTCTGCCGTCATCTAGGGAAGAGACGGTCATTGCGTGAACTTGACAGTGGCAGGAATTTAGAGAAAAGGGGGCAGACTTGGAATCTCTGTCCGAGGCCAGGCCGGCAGGGCTTGGTCGTGGGTGTGTTGTGGACGGGAGAGGAGACAGGGCGAAGGCCAGAAGGGGACCCACAAGGTGCCCTTAGGGCCGCTGGGCGAGCGGGAGCCGCGTGGATATTGGAGACGCTGGCCTGGTCCTGGGCCTGAGGTGGGGGTGAGAGCATCCTGGTCGTCTTGACTGTTCAGGTGCCTCTGAGAGGAAACAGTCGTAGGTGACACCGTATTTGTTAGGCCTTGAGAGGCAATTTAGACCCGCACAGAAGCAAGGTGACCATTCCCTCGGGGAGGGGATCGTGTGCTTTTCACTTGATACAAGTTAAAGGTGGCTGGTTTCATCCTTAAATGGAAGCCTGTGAGAGAAGTGCAGGAAGAGGGGATGGTTCGTTGTGTTTCTTAAAAAAAAAAAACACAGAGCGTTAGAGGATTCGGGAAGTGTAGGGATTTAATGTGGGATTCAGATGAGAACAGAACATGTTTCGGGGAAAAGGGAAAGATTTTAACTTTGTACCTTGTTTTCCGGAAAGCAGATGGTCCTTAGAAGCTCGGACTTTCTAAATATACACAGTTTCTTAGTTACGCAAAAGGAGACGTTGAAAAACATCGAAGGGGTGCGTCAGGTGGTGTCGGTTACCTAAATGTTGTTTCTGAACATTCATTTGTATCTTCTGTTCTTTCTTTAAAATTGATTTCAGAGGGAGGAAGGGAGAGGGAGAGAGAAACACCCATGATGAGAGAGTCATTGATCAGCAGCCTCCTCACGCCCCCAACTGGGGGTCCAGCCCACCACCCGGGCCTGTGCCCCGGCCGGGAATTGAACCCCGACCGCCTGGGTCCCAGGTCGACGCTCAACCACATTGAGTCTGAAGGTTTGTTTCTCACCCTTGAGCTGTATTTGTTGTTGAAATGGATGGACTGCCTAAAACTGTGCATTTTCTGAGATTAGATTTTAATAACGGGAACTGCCTGTCGTATGGGCTCTGGCGTGTGCACGTTGCGGGCGACGTGAATTAGGCTCTAGACTTTCATCCGAGTCTGTGGAGCTGGGATCGAGATCGAAAAGATCTCAGCTGATGGGAGAAGACCCCTCCTGCAGAGCTCCCTCTGCACGGATGATGAATATCCCAGCTCAGTAATTCCCTCAAAACAACGGCCGTAATTGGACCCGATGGGGGGTCTCTTCCTTTGATCAGATCAGAGCTGCTGTGACTTTTCCCTGGAAAATGTCACTCCTGTGAAGGTTTGTCACCTGTAGAGCTGGTCTCTCCTCGGATGCTGTGTGCGTTTCTCATTAGCATTATTCAAAGTTTAGTTGTTAATTAGGCTGACACCTCAATTACAGCCGCCACGGACGAGAGTAGTCAGGGCCCCTCGCGTAAGGAAATAAAAACCTGCCTTCTTTGCGTGTCTGTGAAGAGGAGAGAGGACTCCCTGGTGATACCTGGTGGTCTCCTGGGGGGAAGACCACGCCCCGCGAAGGGAACCGTCCAGCCAGAACTTCCTCTCTTAGGAAACCAGGAACTTGACACGACTCCGTGTTCCCACGTAAAACGTCGATCTATTTAAGGGCGGGGAGTGTTCCTGTTGTGTGTGAAACGAATGACCGGCTGAATGGGCGGCCTAGCACATCGCATCCCCTCCCCCTCAGGAAATAAGAGGGTAGCCCGGCCGGCGTGGCTCAGCGGCTGAGCGTCCACCTGGGATCCAGGCGGTCGGGGTTCGATTCCCGGTCAGGGCACAGGCCCGGGTTGGGGGCTCGACCCCCTGTCGGGGGCGTGCAGGGGGCAGCCGATCAATGACTCTCTCTCTCCCTTCCTCTCTGAAATCAATAGAAACATTTAAAACTAAGAGTATATGTCAGCAGTGTGACCACACTTAGAAAATATTCATCTACGGTAAGGGCCGTTTGTAAATATGATGCCTTCCTTAAAATACACAGAACTAGAAATTAAAGGATGGGGGAAGGTAGGAAAAATTATACCAAATTAGGTGCCTTTTAAAGTTTTGCCGGTTGCTAGATCTAGATAGAAATTGCCCTAATTTAAACACATTCGTTAATCTGATTACAAGTTCACGGGGCAGTGAACCTGGGCTCAAACTCCACACGTGGCGGGGGAAGCTGGGCGGAACTGGGTTCGAATCTCAGCCTTGCCACGTGCTGGCACCTGGCGGGGGGACCTTTCCCGTCGGGGGGACCTTTCCCGTCGCCGAGCCCGCGTCTTCATTCATAAAGGGCGCCGTCCGCGCTTCCTCGGGAGGCCGGGAAGATTAACCGGGACCGTCTGACATTCGCAGGACACAATTCTCCGCTCACAGTAGGTTCTCCGTCACTTCACCTTCATTTCCCTCTTTATCTCGGAAGGGTCCAAACTGTTCAGCAAATGACTGGAAAATCACACATGCGAGTGAGGCTTCCAAAAATAAAATTCAATAGTCAGTGACCCCAGAGGACCTTACAGAGCAGGAAGGAACGCTGCCCACCCGGCTTCGCCTCGGGACGTAGACACGCGTTGTAATCGCGAAGACTCTGCAGTTTACCGTAAAATAATTAAAGCTTATTTATGTCAAGAGGCCTTGGGGAAAAAAGAGAGCAGAAAGCGATTTGCATTAGCACGTTTCCGGGGGTTCCTGCCTTCCTGTCAATTAAGGGACCAGCAGGCGCTCCCCGCGGTTGCAGAGATAAGCGGCCGGCGCGGAGGCCGGGCCCGGGCCGACCTGCAGACGCGGGGGTTCGCCTGCCGGCCGGGGGCTCGGACCTCGCTGGACCAATTTCCGAGGTGTTAATGTAACGGTTCCTCTCCGCCCTGCAGGTCTCGGCCCTGAAGAGTAAGCTGAAGAAACAGTCCACGGCCACGGGGGACGGGGTGGCCCGGGCCTTCCTCCGGGCGCAGGCGGCTTTGTTCGGATCCTACAGGGACGCGCTGAGATACAAGCCCGTAAGCCTGTCTTCCCTCGCGAGATCTTAATTTGCTTTTCTTTTTCTCAAATCCTCGCCCGAGGATATTTTTTTTCCATTGGTTTTGTTTTTTAGAGACCATGGAAAGGAAGGAAGGTGGAAGGGAAGGGGGGAGAGAGGGAGAGAGACACACACATCGATTGGGTGCCTCCCACGTGCCCCCCGGCCGAGCCCGGGCATCAAACCTGCAGCTGAGGTAATGCCCTTGGCTGGGAATCGAAACCGAGACCCTTTGGTCTGGGGGCCGACGCTCTAACCACTGAGCCAGGGCTTAATTGGCTTCTTAGCAGTTCTTTGAAATGGGGCAAAAAAAAAAAAAAAAAATCCAACATTCTAACATCACACCTTCAAAAGGTGTCATAAAGTTCTTTCAAAATCTAAAATAATGTTTTAAACGTTGCGTTCCCTCTCTGGTTTCTTGACTTTTTGGTTTTAGTTCTTTTGCGAACCTCGAGTTAATATTTCCCACATTCTTTTGCATATCCCCTCACCTATCTTACCTCTCCTTCTAAAATTCGAGTACTTACCTCTGAACGAATGAACAGTGTTAATGCATTTTTTTTAAAACCCCCCAATCTTGTTAAGATCATTAAGAAATTAACCAGATTTATTACATTAACGAGTTTAGAAATAACAAGTACAAAATGAAAGTTTGAAACTACTAGAACTTGAAAAATTTACAGTATTTGGAGATTTGTTGTCTCCCCGATTGATAACACTTCCCTCAGTGCTCTCGTCCTGGCTCATCCTAAAACGATCTCTTTTTGGATACTGACATAATCAGCGTGTATCTTTAATATATTTTTCTGATTGATGTAAAAAAGAAAGAGCCCCGTTTAGAAGTTACAGTCATTTCATGGTTCTGTGTCTTTTCCTAAATATATTTCATTAGCATTCGATTGGAGAAAGGGGAAAAAAGTTACAAAGTAGCATTAACTGGATATGAATTCTTTACCTGGACACTACTTTTCAAAATTTCAGGGTTGTGTATACACATCTAAAATCCATTGTTTCCCTTACATTTGACGAAAGTCAAGCTGCAGAGCAGGCCCTTGGCTGACCAGTCTCGTGGGCCTCACTGGGCGTTCGAGGTCCTCCCGACGGACCGGCCTGTGTCTTCCTCTGTGAAGCACCCGGACGTTGGCCTGTGTCTTACACCATCTCTGTGACCTTCTTTGGAGGGGCTGCTTCTCCCTGACTTTCCACGGACGCCCCGACGCTCTTTCTCTCCCCAGGGCGAGCCCGTCACGTTCTGCGAGGAGAGTTTCGTGAAGCATCGCTCGAGTCTGATGAAACAGTTCTTGGAAACCGCAGTGAACCTCCAGCTTTTCAAGCAGGTGAGAGGGGGGCCCCTGCTGTATTCTTGCCTGTAAAGAATCACCTCTCAATGTCAAAAGTGAGTTGTGAAGGTCAAATTATTGGGGGGGGGCAAAGATTGAGTGGGGGGGTAGAACATCGTAACTTATCGCTTCCCTTTGACCACCTGACTCCTATCATTAAAATTCAGACACAGTAAGTTTTTTTTATATAGTTACAAAAAGCACATATTTTTCAAGAGTCAAGTAGAGTTGGGTGAAATCTTGCCTTTCTCACGTAATAGCTTTTTTGTTCATAAGTATCTGCTGCTTTTTTCAAAAAAGAGAAATGTTACCGCTTACGTCCCACGGTTGTGATAGGTTTTCGTGTCTTCACGAGCTTGCGCCAAAACCACGTGAGCGAATTAAATTAAAGGAACAAATCACCGAAGAATTAACATGACGAATCCTTTTGTGTCGCGTTCCACAGCGAGAAAACTTAAACAACACGTTATTTAGGGGAAACGTTTAGGAGACAGGACCGTAAAGACGGACACAGGATAAGGGAGGGGATCGTGGTCTTCCCTGTGGGCGCAGGGAGGGGCCTTCTAAGGAAGAGAATGTTGGTTTTATCATCATTTAAATGATTAATGTAAGTTACTGTGACTTAAATGATTCAGGCATTGTATAAAATCCTATTTTTGAACGTTTCCAGCCGACTCCTTGGCCTCTTGGGGCCTCGGTGTCGCGTCTGCAGCCTACTTGGCCTAAAAGGTGGCAGACACCTGCGGGCTCTCGCGCTCGGCGATGCCGCGGAGTAAACAGACCTCAGGCGGCCGATAGCCGGTTCCATTTGGAGACACGGCTCTTTAGATAGTGGATTTGGAAGCGATCCCAGAAACAGCTCCCTAAGCCCACGGCCCCGACAGCCCCATCTTTCTTCGGCCCGCCGCCTCGCGAGGACACAGCCTTTCTTTCCAGGCCTCTCGCCTGCCGCCCGAGTGTCGTCTGCGGGTAACGCGGCGGCATTGCACCTGCGTCGGTTTCTTGCTTTTTGACAGAGGCCCCGTGGGCCGTGTAAGACGCTGTTATCACTGGGGGACGTTGGATGAAGGTCAGTGGGAGCTTTCTTGGATTTTTGCAACATTTCCATACACCTGAAGTTATTTCGAGATAAAACGTTTAAACAGATTGCCCGCAAAATACCAGTAGAACATTCGTATTAAAGCATCCTCCTGTCTGGCCAGCGGAGTCCCTTCCGTGCCCGTTAGGACCTTCGTCCCGTGGTTCCTCCCGGAAGGTGGCTTTTGCAGGGGCTTCGAATAGCAGGAGGAGGCTCGCTCTGTCCTTCTAAACCACACCTCGTGCACCTGTTTATTGGCGTAGCCACGACTAACGCTTCTTGGGATACTCTTGTTTCTATTTTATCTGCGTTGCAACTTTCTAACTCTTCCCGCAGTTGTCTCGGTGTCCTGAGCGTAGCCACACTTACCTGTCCCCCAGACGTTGCAGGCCCCTGGCCTCTGGTCCGAACGCCCTCTGTTTGACACCCGCCAGCTCCGCCACCCTGGAAGACACAGCCCGAGCCTCCCCTTTCCAGGCCCCGGCNACGTTGGATGAAGGTCAGTGGGAGCTTTCTTGGATTTTTGCAACATTTCCATACACCTGAAGTTATTTCGAGATAAAACGTTTAAACAGATTGCCCGCAAAATACCAGTAGAACATTCGTATTAAAGCATCCTCCTGTCTGGCCAGCGGAGTCCCTTCCGTGCCCGTTAGGACCTTCGTCCCGTGGTTCCTCCCGGAAGGTGGCTTTTGCAGGGGCTTCGAATAGCAGGAGGAGGCTCGCTCTGTCCTTCTAAACCACACCTCGTGCACCTGTTTATTGGCGTAGCCACGACTAACGCTTCTTGGGATACTCTTGTTTCTATTTTATCTGCGTTGCAACTTTCTAACTCTTCCCGCAGTTGTCTCGGTGTCCTGAGCGTAGCCACACTTACCTGTCCCCCAGACGTTGCAGGCCCCTGGCCTCTGGTCCGAACGCCCTCCGTTTGACACCGGCCAGCTCCGCCACCCTGGAAGACACAGCCCGAGCCTCCCCTTTCCAGGCCCCGGCCCCCCCCGATCCTCTATAAGCTCCCGTCCTTTTAGCCCTTTCGGATTCACCCCGCCTCATGCTCGTGGTTCCTTAGGCTCTCTCTTGAGTCGTGGGCTCTGTTAAAGGCCGGGATTGTTTTTAAAGTATTTTTTGTACCTTCGTAACTACGTACGTGATAGTCGCTAAATAGTGTTAAGCAGAGAAATCAAATAAAAACTGCTGAGCGGCTCCCGGGGGGATGACACGCTTATAAAATCGAACAGAGTGGAACTCACTTAGGGATGGTCCAAAACCCGCCGGGGTCAGGTGTCGCCGGGCGTAGATGGAGCCGTGTCTGTCATTTTAAACCTGGCGGCGGTCACCTACCGGCGCCTTGTGCAGAGCGGGAACTCTGCCATCCGCGCCTTCTGTATTCTGTGCCCTGACCCACTTTCTCCGACTGAGATACCTGATCAAAGCAGCCGGTCAGAAGCCGAACGTTTCCCTTTCATGTCAGCTAGAGATTTGGGGAGATTTTAGAAAGCTTTTAACATAAACAATAAATTCTTATAAATTTCTACCTTTCCCTCTTAATCTTTTTTTTTTTTTTAAAGAAAGACATAGTTATTTATGGTCCGTAATTTATAGCCCAGATCAACGCGCGCATTAGCCGTGCTAAAGATTCGGGAGTTTGGGAGTGTTAGGAAACATCTGCCTCGTGCCTAGGCGCGAGATGGCAACCGCAGCAGACACGCGTTCACAGTGGGGAGAAGTGTAAACGTGAAATGTAACACGGGAGAGAGCCACCGGCTGCCCCGGGGAGACAGCGTCTTCCCAGGCACCCCGTCAGCTAATTTCAGGCGGCGGCCTCGGCAGCGTTTCTCCGAGTGTTGTCTGAAGCCGCTCGGAGGCCTTTTGCGTTTCGCTGTGAAGAGGCGCAAAGCCGTGGACGCGGCCGGGGACGTAGGTGAGGTCAGGGGGAGACGTGCAGGCCGCTGAAGCTCCGGCACAGAAATCAGACTGCCTTCAGGAGGAAGGAGGCACGTCGTTGGAGGAGCTGGGCAGAGCGCGGGCCCTTCACACGTAATGGGAGCGAAGGCGGAGTCTGCGGGAGGGGATGCGGGCGGCGGGCCTAGAGCTTACGGAATTTCTCTCTTAATTGCTTCAGGTCTTTTTAATTTAATTTAATTTAATTTTTTATTTTATTTTATTTTATTATTTTATTTTATTTTATTATTTTATTTTATTTTATTTTATTTTATTTCCAGTGACATCAGGAAGCAGGGCCATCAGCTGAGAGAGCATGGGAGGTGGGTGGACGTTAAAGGAGAGAGGAGCTATGAGACGGATGCGAGAATGAACGGACGGGAGGGACAATGGGACGGCTCGGCGCCACTCGGAGCGTGTGAGATGTTGCAGGAGGTGACCTGGAAGTGAGCGTGGGCGCCGTGGTCGGTGGCTGCTTGTCTGGTCCCCCGGGGCCTGGCGCAGGCCCCGAGCCCTTGCTCGCTCCCGCGCTCCTGCAGGACCGGCGCCGAGGCCCCCTCTCCCCGACTCCCCTTGTCCGTGAGCCCGTGGCACCTCACCGCCGGGGCCCCCTCTCCCCGACTCCCCTTGTCCGTGAGCCCCGTGGCACCTCACCGCCGGGGCCCCCTCTCCCTGACTCCCCTTGTCCGTGAGCCCCGTGGCACCTCACCGCCGGGGCGTCCTCCCTCGCCACCTGCTCCGGCCTCGCTGTTGAACGTTGGAAGTTCTTGCCCCGCGCTCCCCAGCCTCCCTTCCACAACGCCAGTTTATTTCCACCACTCGTCACCTTCTCACATACTAAATAATTTATCACATTTCTTATTTCTTACTGCT